AGTATGGGACTGTTTGAGGACGCTGTGTCTTTTTTTGATTGGTTCCTGCGTGGTTGCGCCGCCACCCTTCCCCCCCAAAAAAAACGGTCTTACAGTGAAATTCGACTCCCTCAAAATGACACATGCCTTTTCACGTTCCTTGTTGCATGTTGTTTCAAGAAACGCTCAGTGTCCCTCGAAAAAGAATCAATTTCTGCTTCTAGCAAGAATTGACGCAAAAAACTGCAATAATTTGTGTCGGGTTAGAAGAAAAATTACAGGGGCCATATCGCTACGTAACTTCACGAAATCCCAGAAAACCTTCCAGGAAAAATTGTCAACTGGGCAGGGCCTTAGAAGAGTATGTTTATTATAAGCTAAAATACGAGATAGCTTCAAATTACATATTGTCTTTTTGTTAAACTCTGCAATGCTTTAAGTTACCGAGGAAGTGAAAAGTGAGACTAAACCGTAATAATATCAACAGGAAGGAATAGTCAGAAGTGTGTTTCCGGTACGATTATTCTGAACGCGCAAAACCACTGATAGCTGGTTTTGCCAACGCGTTGCATTCTTTGAAACGTTTACTCTTACGCCCATATTGGCAGCGGTGTGCAAACGGATGCAACAACTCCCAACAATATTGGGATTTGTAGTGCACCGTGGGAAGGATACAACCCAGAAGACTTTGGAGACCATGTGCGCCCGACAATGTTGGAAGAGCTGAGCAAACAGATCCAACATTATTGCGCTACGCTTCGGCGATCACGGAACAAAAGAAATGTTGGGAGTTGTTGGCTCAAACGTTTGACTAGTTTCAAACTTTGCGCAACAACTCCCAACAACACGCAACAACATGCAATGGCCAACAATGTTGCGTTCGTTTGTAAGGGGCTTTACTCTCGCAACAATTTGAGGGACTGGAAGCAAATCTGGTCGCAATTGTTCAAACGCTGGATAGCGCTAGCCACCGGATAAATCACTATCCACTCGATAAGTATCTGGTGGGTGGAGCCCGATTTGTCCGGTAGATAGTGTTATCCACCTTTTGAACATCCGGGGTTTCAACATGGCTGATACCCGTACAATACTGATTACCAAGGCCGGGCACGTGTTCAGTCACAAGAAGTTCCCGCAAGTGGCGGGTTAAAAAAGAACGTGCGGTGAGTTGAGAGGATGGGAAAAACTTACTGAGTGTAAATATAAGTGACATACAATAAAACTAATCAAAACATTCTCACGCAATACAACCAAGTTTTCCGGTCTAAATTTAAATGCGTTATCGATCTCTTCAATCATTGGTGGAGGCAAAATTAGGTTTGATAAAGAGGTAGTGAAGAATGTGGAATGAGCAAATATCACAAACCACCAATTATTACATAGGGTTTCAGTAGTGGCTAGCCCTTTTTGAGCGTTTTAAGTTTCAGGTGTTTAGATCGTTATCCGGGGGCAGCCAACGGGAAATTTTGAGAAAAAGACCTAAAAACAACAACAAAGCGTGAATAAAGTTTTCTGAGACTATTTTAAGCATTTTGGGAGACTGCTGGAAAAAAATTATCTGTTCCTCTCTCCCAGCAAGACTGATGGAAGAGTTCCCAGCCAGCAAACTTACAACCTCCAACCCGACTTACTGGGAAGTTTCATAGGGCACAATTCAGATTTTGAGTGGTAAGTAACCCATACAAGTAACCCGTAGCAGCTATTCTAGACTTCAAATCCCCTCTCACACCCCTCTCACACCCTGAATCTTTTTCCCAGCAAAACTTTCCTTCCAAGGACTATTATTTCTTCCACATCTCCCAGCCAGCAAAAATGTGCCTGAAGAACAGATATTTTGAGGAACAGATCCATTGGGTGCCCCTGGTTATCTTACATAAAAATTCCAGTATTGGCTGAAAATGTATAGAATTTGACCGTGGCTTTTCTGTGATGATATTTTATTAGGGCTTAGTGCTATATTTAGAAAAGTTGTCTAAAACTAAATTTATGCCACGCTGGATATAGCACATTTGAAAAACAATATAGAGATTTACATAAAAACTGAAAATCTAGGGAAAAGTGGTGAGATAAAGCAAATCTGCAACACATTTTAATTGACCATTTCATTTGACAAGTGAACGATTATCGCAGTTATGCACGCAACTCAAGTAACTGCGAAAAGATTTTAAAAAAAGAAAAAATGGTTTGAACGTGATTTCAATCGATGACTTCTGCGATACCGGTGCAGTGCTATTACCTGACTAACCTATCAAGCCAACTGCATCCTACTGTGCATGTATGTGTGAAAATTTGGCCAAGTTGTGTCCACTCGCCGACTTCCTTCACCTGTTGGTTTTAACAGTGTCTCCGCTGTTTAGAGTGGCCCAAATGGAACGGAAATTTCCACAAGAAATTTACCGCGCGAAGTAAATATATTAGCCCCAAAAGTTAGCCACGTGGGCAGAACTTACTCGTCCTTCAGCCAACAACCAAACCAGAGAGAAAAAAATCTGTCTAGAGCTATGTTTAACATGATGAATGTCTTATTGCGACATCGAAATTACAATCACGTACTTTCAAGTTAAGAAAAAAAACTGAAAATTCCACAACATGGAAAAAGCCAGTATTAAAAAATACTGCAGCGGAAATAACTTTACCACCCACATCCACACTAAGACAGATTCCATGTTGTATACACTAAAACTAGTTGCAAAAATGGCATTCAAATGAACTACAATCATGTAGTTCCAAGTAAACAGAGATAAGAAACACAAAAGGTACTCTTAGCAATAACAAAATACCTTAAAATAAACTGATTTAAATCTGTATTGTCCATTAAGGGATGGAACTACATAACTTAGTTTCGCAACTCTTGCTTGCAACTTCGACAGAAACATTTGGAACAACATATTACAGAACCTTTACGGTTGGAGTTAAACTACTGTTAGATACTGAATAGAGTTGATGATTGCACATCACAAACAAATATGTCTCCCGAGCATTATTTTTGAAGTTGCAAGCGGCAGGGATCAACTTTGATAAACTGTTAGGTTGAACAGTTTTCAAAAACCCTACTTTCAATCCATTTCAGTCTTCTTCAGTTTTGCCCATCCGTGGCATCTGTTGTTTCTGTTGTGTCATTTTAACGTTCCTTTAATGTATTAAGCGTTATCAAATTGATTATTCTCTGGAGCAAGAATGGTTACTAAAACTTTAAAGGAGAAAGGTCTCCGCTGTGTTTATGACCCCATCATGTCTCGTACAAAAAAACACCGTGCTGACAATAGCGGTCACGGTCATTAATATTACGCCGACACGTCTACCTACGAAATGTATTGACCTGCGCGAGCAAAAACTCGCAACAATCTGGTTACTTTGTTGGTGCAACAGTTATTACATACTGAAATTATGATTACGCGCCTTTAGTACAATCACACATCGCGCACAGAAATGAATGCCAACTTTAGGATATAATCAGGGGCACTCAAAGACTTGCATCTGCAAAATAACTGTTTGAGGGGCAAATATTGCCTAGAAAACTCTAAAGGTCAAGGAAGGCTGAAAATTTCTGAATAACCGTTCATTTGTCGAGATTTGTCTACAGCTATTTCGAGAAAGGTTGTCGGAAAAAGTGCACGCGACAATCTCGAAAATAAAAATACTACATCCGAAGTAACAATTATTAACTGCCAATTAATGATAAACAGCCACGCCAAGAGAGCTTCTCTCTTGTCCACACTAGCTTTTGTATGTCGGGAAAAGATAAAACACTCACACGCGCTGAATCCTGCCAGCCACACTAAGGCCGGTTCACACTTCCTTTATACGCGCAAGAAGGATAATTGGACACAACACGTATACATGGCAGAAAAATCGATAGAGAACAGGTTTGACATAACGGAATTAAAACGATAGGAACCAAGTCCTAGCATCTCTTCGTCAAAAGGAGGTCTGTGCACGAGATTAAGCATAAAAACATCCAGTGAGAAGCGGCTTGACATACGCACAAGCACAACCCTTAGCATAATGGTCAAGCAAGAACCAGCGTAAGATAAATACTTATCGTACAATAGTGAACCAGGCTTAACTATTCAGTTCTATTGACCTTAACTAAGCTATACAACAACAACAACAACATTTTATTCAATTATCAAATAATTATCTAACAGATTTGCATCCAGATTGTGTTTTGGTTTGTCAACTGTAGTCATGCATTCTTTACTCTTCCTTTTTTACTTTCTCCAAACTTCATAAAAAGTCCAGCTGATACAGATCTGCGTCAAGGAAGAAAACAAATTATAGCAAAAAAAGCAAAGAGAAAAGAAAAGAAAGGACAGCGTGGTGATTGGCTAATAAATCCCGCGCTATATTTTTTGGCCAATCAGAAGTAGAAGCAAAGTGTGATTTTGGACAGCATTTTTTGGCCGCTACACAATTGGCTAATTGGATTGGCTAGACCCATTCTATTGGACAGCGTGACTACTCCGGTTTCGTAAGGCTATGACACTCGAACGAAAAACACCTTTTTATCAAATGCTACCCAACAAACTACTTTAATAGACAGGAGAAGTCGTTACGTCACGTTGCCATTGTAGCAAAACGTTTGCATGACAACAAACCGAAAACGTCACTTTTAAGTTTACTTTTGAAAAAGGTAAATTCGCCCGGTTTCAAACTTCATCGATCTTATTCAATTTTATTTTTATTTGTCGAATAGTGTTGGCGAAATTTTCTGAGGTTGAATCTAAAAGGACCGTATCTAAGTTTAGAAAAAGAAAAAAATAATTTTTGTGTTGTGTTCACCTACTCCATACAGCGGGCGCGTGAAATTAGGATATAAATGTTCATCTCGCAGTCGTGCAACGACGGTAAACGAATGTAGAAAATAGCATAATGCAATTGCAAAGTTGTTTTTTTCTAATATATACCTATTGTTTTTTTGCTGTTCTCGTTGCTGACGACAGACTTCTCCTCTCTATTGAATAAACCTTCGATGTAAAGAAAAAGAAAAAGTTGTTTGTTTTACTACGAGACAAAGTTTCCAAAGGATACCTTTCCTCGAACGATGGAACATGAGTAAATTCTCTTTTAAACTCAACTGGGAAGCAAAGGTTCCTGAGGTTGTCTTCATATTGTTCTATCTCCTTTTTGCACAGAGAACCATTTGTACCCTGAAGAAAAAGCACTACGTTACCCATGGTTAAATGTAGACTGCCGTTAACTCAGATTTCCCCGAGAGTTACGAAAGGAGCAAACGAGCCCATGGGAAGCAACGAGGCAGGAGTTACACCGATTTCAGTAGTGCAACACCTGCAGTAGGCCTGTCCTCGTGTGAACCGCGCTCGGGATTGTAGTCTAAACAAATACTCCTACAAACCCCTTAATTTCTGAAAGCTTAATAGTTCCAGATTATGGTAGCCTCCCACGCAGGCGTTTTAAGGGGAGCTCGTTTTTCATCCCTTCCCACGAGCTCCCCTAAAAACGCCTTCGTGGGAGGCTAAGATTACGGCTGATTTCTTTAAAAAATCCAAAATGTGAATGCGTTTCAGAAAGGTGTTTTTTTGCGAAAGTATATATATTTATCTGTAAGTTTTAAGTCCACGCAAGCCATCATAAATGGAAGAAACTGATGGAGATCGCATTGAGTTCTTGAAATTTTGACTATAAAATTATATCTCAGATTTTTGTCAAGTGCGTTTGTGCTTTTGTTATAGGCAGATGAAGTTAGGGATCGGATAACAAGTCAGGAGCTTAAAGTGTTCGCTCAATTTGACCCAATTTTCATTGCGAGATCAAGAAAACAGGGGAGAATAGATTTTTCTTGACACAACTTATTAGCATACAAAATTTTTTTGCTTCATAAGATTCTGCAGAAATAATTTTTTAGCTGGAATTTTTTCTTAAAAAGCAAGTTCTCAATGGGTTCTATCTAGTAGTCTAAAAATTGCAAGTTTCGAGGAAAAAATTATTGGATGATACCTTTTAAAAATGGGATTGCAGTCAGTTACAAAGTTAACCCCACAATTATTATAGTAAACCTGCTCTAGTTGTAATACCCTCCTGCTCCTTTTTTGAACAGTACATACAGTACATAACGCTGTCGATAGCATAGCATAAATCACTATCCCGTGGATACTGTAGTTTACGACAAAATTTTTTTTTTTGGCGAATTTTTTTCTCTGGCCACTATTAAGAGTAAACGAACTGTCCAGCGCACGATCTACCTCAACAGAAAATCATTCACCCTGCGAGTAGAGGCTCCTTTTGTCTTCTTGATCGAGGATGAGAGCCAAAAGGACGCTCTGCCTCCATCCCGTCAAGTTTTTAACAGGCTACAGCCCGAACTTCTGGAATAGGTCAGTCTCGTTTTCCCTCGTGAAAGCAGTTTTTCGAGTGAGAGCATCCGTTTATTGATGGTCATACCAAGCGAAAGGCTATTAGGCCTAGATTCAAAACTGTATCCTAGCAACATTCCCCGCATACTCAAGAAAGATCTTACTCCATTCATACAGAGTCTTTCTCGTGTGCGGCAAAATCAAACAAGTGAAAGAAACGCTCTATTAGCAGGGTGAGCGACATTGAGCAAACTATCGTTATCTGGTATTCCATCTTACCTGGGCGAAAAATTTTCCTCCCGGTTTTAAGACTTGAAGTGTGAGGTTTGATACTTCCCGAACAAAATCCCAGTTAGAATCTAAAAGAAATGGTAAGGTACGTTTTTTCATGAAAATATTGTTTCACTACTCACCTAGATTTCCTTTCATCTAATCCCAAACTTTTCCCACCAAAATGAAGCCTACTAAGACGCCGAAATGCCCAGCGAGAGAAAGAAGAGGAGAGAAAGCGCCAGAAAAAGTCAAGAATGCAGTGTCACTTTTAAACTTTTATCTTTATCTGTTTTATTTACGTTCGTTGTGTTACTTATCTATTCGATGTCCGTTGATAATAGCTGAGCACCATGGGTAAGTAAATCTACCCATCCCAGAAAATTGCGTAACTACGTGATCGTACACCAAGCGCCTGTCCGTCCGCACCACAGGGAAACCAATGTTTAATCTCGCACTTTCTAGCTAGTTTGGGAGCCCAGGAGCAAACTGATATTGCACACATATTGCGCATCAATGTTCCATCAATGTTGTGATCAGTTGGCATCTGTCAAAACAGAGTATCCGCTGACAAGTATAACCTGATTGTCTCGCGGGCTCAGGTATAGATTGAATGAGTGCGATATTTGTCTTGCATTGCAAAATTGAGAAATATTGCATTCTGTCCGAGATCTGTATGATAAAAACAGCGCCTCATAGCCCCGTTTCGCCTCAAATGTGATGTATAAATAGTATAAAAGGCTGGCTTACATGCCACCAGATTTTTTGACAAGATTTTGTAATGTAAACTTACCGAACGCAAAAACTTCGGCCTGATTTTTTTTCCCAAGTATTTGTTTCCCACTAGGCCTAATCGACCGTGATCAATGGCTCTTTAATGTGATCGAGCTATTAACTCGATGTAAGATTTGTTTCACAAATGGACTCTAAAAAGTGTTCGAAATAAGAGCTAGTCGCTTTCGAGAATGAGCTCTCGCAAGCGAAGGAAAGTATAAAACAATAGGGGTGGGCGCTTACGAGAGCTTCACAAACTCATTAATATTCATAAAAAGACAAAAAAATAATGTCTAATGAGTGTCTTTACTGATATAGACAAGGCTAAAATTTACGTCCAATTTTTAAGACCAAAATAAACCCAAATCTAAATATTAAAACCATTAATAGAACATCGGACAGAGATTATTCTCTGTAACTGTTCTGTAGTGTGTACCAGAAACTCATAAGGGGTTGAACCCAAGGCGGATATCCCCCCTGGGTTCAACCCCTTATGAGTTTCTTGCTCTCCCCTCCCCAGAGGCCTCTCTTTGCTATTTTTATTGGGATACCCAGCGGGAGCGTCTGCGGAGGTGAGAGAGAGAGAGAGTTACTGGTAGTACATAGTATTAATTAACAATTATTGGACAAGGTTGAGCAAAATATTGTGAATTATTTTTCTTTATTTTATTATTTTGCCACACAGAATAAATTACAAGTAGAATAAAAAGGATAACAAATAGGTTAATTAATATGAAATTTAAAATGAGCATACAACTTGGAAGGGGTGACTGTGGCGGGGAAATCCCCGAGAAGCCGAGCTTATGAGGAATACAGATTTCCCCCTGGCGAGCAGATCAATTATTCGCCTAAACAGAAGGCTAAGGCAAATAGTTGATCACCAAGTTTGTTTTTAATGACTTACGAAGCGATCTGCCATTTTCGCGCAAGAGCGATCGCAAGAGAGAGAGAGAGAGAGAAGCGTGTTTTCATTTAAGCATGAGTATATTATTTGCAGCCAAACGCAGTTGGACGACATTGCGCATGAGTAGACCATTATTTGTAGGCAGTTATTTGCAGGTCACGTGGTGGGCTCTCGGCCAATAAAAAAGAGGAAAAATTTTCATCGAATGATAATTGACAGGTCGGGGGCGTGGCTTGGGAGCCCTTTACCCCTTACCCTTTCTTTTGTCAGGAGGGCGGGTATTCCTTTCGCAGAAACCATCGTTTAAAGGCTCACTTTGTTGAATATTTTTTCGTATCAAAGTATTTTCGTCAGCAGTCCTTCTATAAACAACATATTCGGTTCTTCTCGCTTTGAAAGTCGCGCGTCTATGCAGCTATGACGCAAATGCAAGCTCTCCTTCCTTTTCCGCCCCGTCGCCATAGCGCCCCGGAGAGCTTGCTCGCAGGCTAAAATACCCCCTCCCATATAGCTTCTCCCCTCGCCGAAAACCAACTGTGGTCTGTTTGAAATCGTTTGGTTTCAATGCAAGCATCGTTCTTGTCTAGCTTAACTGTTGCACTCACCTTGTAAAGAGACATTTATTGGTATGTCTGTAAGATCATTGATCACATAATCAAATGTCTTTCCCAGTTCCACGTACTCCTTAAGTGCCTTTATACAATCATCAATTCTGACCTGTATCATAAGTAGTATATAAGATTGCGCTGTATGTTCAAAATCAAACGAGGTTTTTTGAGAGAGCTCTTGAATGCTCTACGTTGCACAAACGCGAGGCACCTCCCCTATAGTTGCGTTCGATGTTAGGAGAGCGCAATTCCTTTTCTTGGCAATCCTGTAATTACACTGTAAGGTGACCATTTCAGCACAATAGTAATGTTTCATGGTAAATCGAAGAAAACGCGAACGCATACATTGATCTATGATTACTACTAGTTATTGCCGGTGACAAGAGGAGCCTGCAATCCTAATCTCCAGGTTGTTATTAGGCATGCGTCGCATCTATGTAGCCAGCAGTCGTTTGGATTTCAACTAAGAATGAATGGAATGCACAAAACGCATTTTGATCACGTGAGGATCGACCTTCTACCCCTCGTACTCAGATCACGAGTGTTTTGACCATCTGTCACGTGAAACTTACGCAAAGCACAGCGTTGGAGTAAAAGCGTTTGGACCTCCGATCGTTGTCGTCCGCACTTCCTAACCTTTGGTTATTACTAGTTTAATATTCTAACATCCTTTATACGAAACTGCAATGCTCCCACGAATATTCACGTAAATGTACACTGCTCACACTAGATATGACTAAGACTGTGAGGAGAAAGATTATACTTACAGTTTACAGGTACAAAAATCTGTACGTATCACAAGACGATTTTTAAAAAACGAACCCAGCGGAATTTGCAGCTATTTGAGTGAAAAGGGGCCAAAAGGCAGGGTTTTTTGGGCATTATATTTTCGAAAACCATACAAGCAAAGGAAAAGGAAAGGGAAAAAAGAGAGCGAGGAGGAAGAAAGGAAGAGAAGATGAAAAAAAAGCAATGGTCATACTATTAATTTTCATATTGGCTTCTTTGGAGAAAAAAAAACGTTGAACAAAAAACTGCTTGACGGAAGAGGTCTGGTTGGAGATAACGTTCATTAAAAAATTCGGTTGATACATCTATTCCCATATTTTGGCGTTCTTTGATCCCGTGTAACGGTATGCAGTCATGACTGGTACTTTTGACTACCAGTTACGATGGCTGAACACAGTTTTGCGGGCGGTCAGCGGTAACTCGCGTGACTGCGCGTGTTTTAAATTAGACGAACAAACATGGCGGCGAAAAAGCGATGGTACGCAGAAGACGATTTCTCAAAATCTATTCATTAAATTTTGTGATATTTGGCAGAATTTTTACTTTTATGGTATTTTAGATAATGACAACTTTAAAATGGCAGTTAAACAGACTTATTTTGTGACACAATTAATAATTACAGAACAATTATATTATTGATTAGTAAAATCCAACTAGTGGTCTATTATCAATGCTGCATTCTGACTGGTTGAGCTACTAGTAGGCTATATGTTATAGCCCACTAGTAGCAAAAAGCGCTGGCTTTGAAAACCAAAACAGTGGCGGCAGAATCGCGTTTTGCTAGCTAAAGTTGTTTTGTCTCGATATCTTTGACCAACTAGTTGGATTTTATAAAAACAATTATTCCTCTCGCTCTCACGGCCTCTGATTCAATAGCCCATTCGGCCTTTCGGTCTCATGGGCTATTGACTCAGAGCCCATTCGGGCTCGAGGAATAATTGTTAATTATCTAAAAACCCGTCTGTTAAAATTTGATCAAATAAGTTTCAAATGGTGATTATTATAGTAAGCTGTATGCAAGTTTATAGGAAAATCTAATGAGCGACTTTTTTGTTGAGCAACAGGGAAATTTGAAGGTTGTATTCAATCCTTCATTTTGCCATGGAAACTATGAAAACGTCAAATTTTACCGGTTCACCAAATATTACATCAGTATATTTTCACTTGCCAAGTTTCAGCTTGTGAGCTGCAACGTTCCTCTTGCCATGATTTGGCAAATGACATATACTCACAAACTGCCAAAACTGTGTTCAGCCACTTTAAAGGGTCTGTGTCGTCAATTACACATCCTTGTTTGCTTAAAATCACAGCTTCGCGCCAAACAAATATGTCTCCCAAGCATCATATCAAACGTTACAAACAACAAAAATGAACTCTGAAAAACTGTTAGGCTAACAAGTTTTCAAAAAACACAATTGCAACCCGTTTTAATCTCCTTCAAGTTTGTTTTTTTCGCGCCTCCTTTTCTATTTTGCTGTGTTATTTATACTTTCTTTTAATGGTTTTTTTCTGTTCATTGGCCAGTTGGTTTTTAATGCAGGTTTACAACATCCGATCAGAGACACTGTAAATTCAGTAAGTTTAGTTAATACTTACTTCATAGTTAGGTCCTGTATACGAATCTAACGTGTCGCCGCAAACCCCTCGCAAATGCTTCGCTGCAGCTTCGACAACAATTTTATCTATGTAATGGCACGTCAAGGAAAATCAGGAACACGCTATTCGGTAATTGTCATTCATTCATTCATTCATAAATACACCAACAGTATACAGAAATTTATAATACATTAAAGATGATATTCACTATTCTAACTAAACTATTTACAGAATCAAATGTTTAAAGTGGTAATGGCAAGGAAGACTATACAGAAGCCGGGGGCTCATAAACTATAGGCTTCCTGGAACTAGGGCGTAAACCATACAAGTTAAGGGTACTGAATGAAAATTTGGATTAATTTTTTAGAAATAAAGAAAATAAAAGAAAAAAGGAAAGAGACAAAAGAAAAAGAAATTGTCAGCAAGAATTAAACACTTTCCGCTTAAATAACCGGCCCTTCGTTAGTGCTTGGATGTCCTTTTTGACTAAATATAAAGAAGGCTAATAATTAATATCGAAAGATGGTGGGATATCGGGATGTTTGAGTGTATACATTTTTGCATCAGAACTTAGTGATAATTTACGTATCAGATATTGTCTTAACCTTTTTGGATGCACTTCTGACTTGCAACAGCTTTTCAAGGATATCTCGACCATGGTGACAAATTTTGGGGATTCCTTTAGTAGCTCATGCAGTACCCCGCCATCTCCTCCTCCTAAAATGAGTATTTCTTTGTCTTTGTAGTTTTCTCTGCCATTCCCAAGCAGTGTTTTTGTGTAAACGATATCTCCCTCTGCTATCACTGTGAAGACAAGCAATGGTGTCTAAAGCTGGCAGGCGGGTCGGTCTGTTAGGACATGTTCGCCGTTATATCACCACACATTGTGCAAATGCCATTTGTTTTTGTTTTGTTTTGTTTTGTTTTGTTTTTTTGCTATGATTAGACCGACCTTAGAGTTCTGTTCTGGGGTCTGGGGGTGTTGTGGGCAAGTAAATAGTGGAATTAGAAACTCTGCAGAAGCGCGTTGGAAGAATTGTCATTAAAACATCTAGTAGTGACACTGCGATGAAAGCTTTGAAATGGCCAAGTCTTAGGTTCAGGCGCGATTAACACATCCTAAAACTTGTAGATTTTTTTTGTCCTTTGTTTTTAACAAGGACATTGTGCTCGTTCAACCCGCCAGAGCAATCTCTTACATCTGCCTGCTATAAGAACAGAAGTGGCTAAGAGATTCTTTTACTCGGCCATGGAAGTATGGTTTTTAATAGTTATTGTAAATGTCCTTAATCTTGAAAGATCTTGTTGTTATTTTCATTTGTTATATTACCTTGTATATATTTTATTATTATAATTATAAGTATTATTGTTATTATTATTTATAGTCTAGTTAGTGAACTCTGGGCTCTTATTGATAGCAGGTATGCTTTTCAAGCCCCCTGAAGGGACTACCCTGGGAAATTACCTTTTGATTTTAAATAAAGGCGTCTATCTTTCTTTCTTTTCTTTTTTGTTTAATGCACGTCAATATTGTTACTTTAGCACCTTTTCTCTTTGTATAATTTTTTTTCACTGCGCTTATTGTCTATGCCAGCTAGCTTAACGTGGCAGTGACCAACCCGAAAGCATTAGCTACTTTGGTCACTGCGCACATCTTAATAGGCCACTTCCGAGTCGTAAAAACCCTCACTTTCAAAATGAGGCTAGGTGCACAACCTTTCTTTTGGAAATGAGTTTTATTTGCATGAGAATTAAAAATGATTTCCATATCAAAGGCAGAGCACCTACCCTCGTTTTGAAACAGAGGCCCGGGAGAACTCGGTAATGGCCTATTTCTTAATATCTTGTTATCTTTATTTCTGACATTGTTCCGTAAGGTACTTATACAAATTAAAATTCTGATGTAAGCCATATGTAAATAGTACAAAAACAATAGAATCTAAAATCTGAAATATTGAATGCCCCAGCTTGGGCTTAAAAAATTAAATAGACGCCCCTAGCGTTTATTAGACTATTTACAATATCCTGCAGCTTGCCCTGCACCTTGCAAAAACATCTAATACAGCATACAGAATAAAATTAGAAAGGACTTGTTAATAGCCTACAATCAATTCTCTTGGTTCATACTGTCCTTGTTTCTCTCATCAATTTACAGCCAAAGGGTAAGATCTGAATTAACAGTAGGTATATACCTTATAATACTGCTGATTAGAAGTAAAGTGCATTCACCGAGATCATGGGTTAGAGTGCATCAAAGGAACTGATAAATCCAATCTGGGAAAGGATTTAATGGTTTATTTGATGTACACGTACATGTACCATGATCTAAGTGATCTTGGATCATTGATCCTAATCCGGATCATCCTAAAGGAACGCAACCATTGAAAGGAAAATAATACTCCAGACAATTGCATATGCTCAATATATATTGCAGTAAGGTATAAATAGTATTCTTCCTTCCTTTAAGCAACTGCTCAGTCAGAGCACAAAATTAAACTTTGTTCATGGTCCAAGATTTTGTCAATTGAAAAAAAAAAAAGACGAATGTCTACTTACTGCAAAGCTCAATTCCACTTACTCTCAACAAGATCCAGAAATAGCATGTTTCCAAAACGATTAGAATGCACTATCCAGATATCTTGATATTGTGATTTGTGTCTGAACACTTCCCTGTAATTACAAGACAAGGGAGGGAAAAATAAGGTTATAAGCACCTACATGTACCGTAAATCCTCTATAACTATTGCACGTAAATTAATTCCCCCACTAATTTAACCCCTCCCCTTTTCTGGGGAAGAAAGTTATCATAAGCCCCCTTCCCCTCGGCATCCGCATGCAACATTCGTTGCTCAGCAAATGAAGCAAATATGTTGCATGATGGGGTCTTTACAGATTTTCACTTCAAAATAATGGGTTCTTCATTTTGTGAACTGAGAGTACATTAAATTCCTAAGCTTCTGCATGATGCAGCATTTAAATGGTGGCCGAGAAAGCTGTCATGTATACATCTTTTGATATATTTTTCGGCTTAGTATGTGAACAGTCCTTGTGTTAGAAAAAGTATTTTTTAACGTACATAACCTTTAAGTCCCAAAAGCGACCAATATAGACATAACGTACATTTGGAGTATCAATATAAGGTAACATAATCGTGTACAAAGATTACAAGAATTAATAAAATGACCACCAAAGAGGAAATAATTTGATCTTTGACATAAAATCTGTATTCACTTAACTTAAATATTTTTTCAAGAAAATGAATGGAGATCAATCAGTCTTGAGAATTTGTATATGGATCTTGGGGTTAGTTTGGGGCTTAATTAAAGTTACACTTTAAGAGATAAACTCATGCTTTCACACATGTAGCAAGACTAAATGACATACTTCTGTTGGTTTACAGATGATGAATCGATGGCCCTTAAACAGACACGAATTTCAAAAATGGCATCTCCAAACAAAGGTCTTAATATTTGGGCAGAACATCTGATTTCTCTGAGTATCTTGCAGATGAAAATTTGCAGGGACCCTAATCTTGGCTTTACTGTACGTTGTTTGCATAATTATTATTATTACAATCTTCTTTTATTAAAATCCCAGATTCTTGGCTTTTCCTATTGAATGGTTTTTATTTGATTTTTGATGGCATGACTGTGAAAACCAGCAATACTAACTTGTCAAAATCATATTCCTTAAATTGGCCATCTGATGTGTCATGATAGCATAGAATGTCCCGTCCTCTACAAATGGTAGGAATAATATCTGCTTTCACACAAGACAAGGCTGCATCAACCTTGTCTCTAAGGTCAGTGTAATCCTGTGAAAATAAATTCACTCAACTGTGAGTAATGAAACAATGAAATAAAAATTCATGTAACTTGTATTCTTAATGGTATTGATGAGAATACTGTGTGTTTTATAACTTCTAGTAGCCTGTGACATTTGATCTATATTCAAGTTGACTTCGGGGGCCCGGGTGTAATTATTGCACTGCTATTTTGTGCTTCCAACATTGGAATTTTTAATAAGGCTTGTAAGGCGGGGGGGAGAAGGCTGGAGGAGGAAAAGACGTTGACCTTATAGGGGTATCATTATTTAACTGGTGATCTGTTAGTTTCCATCGTGGCTATGGACAGAAAAGAAAAAGAACACACTGATAGGCAAGAATTCCAGTTGTAGACTGTTTGACAGTTAAATTGCTGAGAAATGTGCCAAAGACTTACCTGTCGACAGAGTAATTTTTCTTCACTGACATCTTTGATGTACTGAACAATATCTAATGTTATGAGACCATCTGGAAATAATCGAAGGGTACACTCTCTGTGATTAAAGAAAACGATAAAAGTAAGAAATTTCTATGCAGTTTTAATGGTAGGGTAACAGTATGTAGAAGTAATCACTCACACGCCATTTACACCAGCAAACAGTGTAACAGAAGAAGTACTAAAGCAACTATTGGCTTGGAAGGTAGCTTTGATAATTTCACTAATTTTGTCCCGTGCTGGTTTCATCCATTTTCCAGAGGCATCTGGTGTGACACGGAAATCCAAGAATGATTGTTTCACGGACATGATAGAGCTTAATGCTACAACAGTCACTGCAATAAAACAAAACTGGTGATTAGATAAAAGAATACAAGGAATAATGATTTTAAAATACATAAACAAAAACAGTAAGGCTACACAAGGCTTAAACTTTGGATAAATATGGGTGGATCCAAGAAATTAATTCTTTTTTATTGGATTGAACGGGACATTTGTCAATACCAAATGCAGTACATCAAGGAAAATGCGGTGGCCGCAGTCGTCACGGCCCCACCCCTAAATCCGCCCATGATAAACCTAAAGAACGGTTTACTATTATTTTGCACCTACATGTATACCCAATAAAGAAGGGTTTAGTGATTTTGTTACAAATAGTTATGGGCCGGGTTGTTCAAACCTGGATTAAGATAACCCAGGGTAAGTGCAAAATTTGAATTCAGATTTGAAAGCTTAAAAGTAGATTCAGTTTAATTCTTTCTGTCAACACGGTTGATGATTGGATGCTCTTAAAAATAACAGAGAAAGTTTTCCGAGAAAATGCTTTAAACAAAAGATAAAGAAACCCCGGGCTAAATTTAACCCTGGGTTAAGGTGGCCCGAACCTATTTGTATGGGTGCTGGTTATGTTTTTGATTTGCGTTTTTCAGAATGAAAGATTCAACCGATTTCTATGATTTTTGGCATCCTTAATAAATAATAATGGATCTTTAAGAAAATGTTATTTACTTTCTTGTAGGTATAAAAACCTTTGAGATAGCGGCATGTATTTAAAACAGCATTTTTACGAAAAATGTAAATAACTTCGAAATCCCACGACAGATTTTTCCCTAACTTCAGCAAATAAGCCTCAGAGCCCTCTCGTTTTACATCTGCAAGTTTGAAAGCAATCGTGACCGTAGAACTCGCTGCACAAAATGCTGGTCAAATTTAACCTTAAAATGCTACGCTAACACATTTATGAAAGTTGTCGCACAAATAGAGGAAGACTGCCGACAGACTATCTCCTATCTGAAAGGATATTCCTACCTAAAGCTTTGTTGCAAGGAACAGAGTAATCAGAAACTTAAGGGGAATACAGTTCGCACTTTACGAAGAACAATTTTAAGCTGAGTGCGCGGTGATATTAAAGAACTTCTATTCATCAGACTCACTTTGTATTTGTCCTTCTCTTTTGGAAACAAATCTTAATAAAGCAAAATATGGTTTCTACGAAAAACTTTCAAGAGTTTTTAGCGTCGCAGGTTCCCGTTTTGAAGAGAAATAAAAATAAGGCCACCAACTTCAGTACTTCTAACCATCCATTTTTCAGCTGCAATGAAAACCCTTGTATTTGGTAATTTATTCACGCTTTTAAGACTTACCATCACATTCGCATGGGCAGTTTGCTGTTGGGGATAATGAGGAGAATAAGACAATTGTCACATTTGTCTTCATCTTTATTCCCAAGTGGTAAACTTCCCATGCGAATGTGATGGCAAGTCTAAAGAGCTTGAATTAAATTACCAAATACAAGGATTTTCATTGCAGCTGAAAAATGGGTGGTTAGAATTAGTGGAGTTGGTGGCCTTATTTCTCTTCAAAACGGGAACCTGTGACGCTAAAATCTCTTGAGAGTTTTTCGTACAAGCTATATTTTGCTTTGTTAAGATTTGTTTCCAAAAGAGAGGGACATATACAACGTTGTGACTTTTGAATCAAAAGTGGAACCAAAGTCAGTCGAATCTTCGACTGTTTGGATACGGCAAACGTCGCATTAAATTAAACAGTCGAATTTTATTGATTCAAACGTCGCACTTCACAAGCATTTAACTCTCGCGTTAAGTTTGGCACATGTGAAATGCGACGTTTGAACCGAGTCTATGTCAACTATGCTTGGCCTCCGCAGGCAAGTTACTCCGAACCTGTACCTCAGGCATTTTACAACTTTAGCCACCCAGCTAAGCGAAGTGTTCTCGGCCGAGTTTTACTCCCTTAGCGTCCGTCAGTTATGAAACGTTTTCCCACCGATAATCCGCCAATTTATCTAGGGTAATGCCGCCCGTTAACGGAGAATCAGCATCAAAGAAAACCCTGAAAGCCTAACATAACCCACTAGAAGCAAGTAAACTAAAGCAAAAACAGACGGTCAAAGGAAGGGGAAAGGCCCTCAGTGAATGTCAAGGAAACATAGCGAGCTACAATCCCGAGTAAGGATCAAGAAAGGTTTCATTCAGTGTGATATGGTAAATCCAAGAAAAAAACAGCGTGACATTTCACACTAATGATGCTTTTTTGTACAGCTTAGATCAGATCAGCTTAGTATAACAAAATCACGTTGGATAGGAAAAAGTTATAGGTGATAAACTTAAGGGCAACAACTTATGGTATACTGATTTTACTTACCCGAAACAGCTCCCTTCAGTACGTTGATAGAACTGATAGGAAAGTAAACAGAATCTTCAATTTATTAACCTGTGTGAATAATTTATTCCGCCCATTTGAACCTAAAATGGAAGATCATTAAAATATTTTATGACAATAAAAGTTAAAGTTTTTATTACATTCCCAGAATATTTTATACTTCTACTATAAACCAAAACAGGAAGACATGACGGGGCTTTTGTTTGGCTCCCGTCAGGCGTTAAGTTAGTTGGTGCAAATACTTTCGTGAATGGTTCATGAGTGGCCGAGTGGCTAGGCAACCGACTAGTAATCTGGAGACTGGTATGGGGTTCAATTCCCAGCTGAGCCACATCTTGACTAGCCCGCGAACGGCAGACGTATTTCCGGTCGTCTGCGGTTCGCAGGCTACATCTTCACTCATTTCCTTAGCTTTGTTTATTTCTGTTTCCAATTAACGGCAAACGTGTTTGGTAATTGGTTAGCTCTAGTAGCAATTGTAATACATGACTGACAAGATTGTTTAGACCTGTTTCAATTATTTCTGCGAGCCCCCAAGCGAGCAGCACACTAATTTTTCGTGAGTCTGTGGTTTCTTGGGTCCCCTGCCTTATCTTATGTGAGCAGTCTCAATTTTAGTTTGTCCCGATGATTTTGAGCAAGCGTACGTCCAGCGGTGTCATTGGTTTGAGAAAGGCGAATCATGTCAATCAATCTTAATTGTGTTGCGTGGGAAAATAGCCTTAAGTTAACCTGAAGTAAAAAAAGGTTGTGTGTGAAGCTTTCTTTACTTGAAGAATTCAAAATTTACTTGTCTTGAAATATTTCTTAGCTCATTTAGGCTTTAGTGTAAAGACTGATTGTAACTTAGATGCATGCGGATCTAGATGCGTCTTTTGCCGCCCATAGCACGTGCTCCCTTCTCTCGCTTCGCTTCTTCGATGGCAAGGTGAGTGTGTTTCCGATTTGCAGATGTATCATGCAGAATTCAAGCTTTTTTGTTGCTGGAAGCATTCATCAAGGTCACGAACGATTTCATGGGAAAGACATCAATGTTGTCCATTTGGTCTAGGTCTATCTTCTTTGAACAGATCTTTTCGTAAAAGACCGGAACACAGTAATATAAAGTGAAGAACATGAGAAAACACGCATGTTATAGCCCTAGCTTCAAAACGAACATTGTGCCGTCCTCTTTCGTTTCACCGTCCAGTTGCGCAAGCTCTCTCATAAAAATTATTGCCTCATCTATGCAAACTATTAATTCTCTCGTATTCAGTAAATTATTGTATTGTTCATCAGTATGAGCTAATACCACCAAGAAAAACATCGAGCTATTATAGACAGTGCAAAATTTTGCAGCCCGGATAGTTTGTGGAACGAGGAAATTTGATCATGTTACACCTATTCTTAAGCAGTTACAGTGGCTGCCAAATGTTAAACAACTTGAGGTTAGGGATGCTACCATGGTGTTTAAATGCTTAAATGGACTTGCAACTCCATATCTTTGTCAGAAGTTTAAAACCAGATCAGAAGTGCACAACTGCAACACTAGGAATAGGGACCGCCTACATATACCACTCTGTAGGACNGGACTCCGCAGTTGCTGATGAAGATACCAGATGATCTAAGCATTACACTACTCAGCAAGGAGATTACATCATCTAAGTCTGCGAAAAACCTGGGGGTTACAATGGACTGTAATTTAACGTACGACGAACATATAACTCAATTAACTTCGAAATGTATAGGTAGCCTTTGTCAAATAAATCGCGTAAAATACCTGTTTGATAGGCGTACGTTGATTACTATAATTAATTCTCTCGTATTCAGTAAATTATTGTACTGTTCATCAGTATGGGCTAATACCACCAAGAAAAACATCGAGCTATTACAGACAGTGCAAAATTTTGCAGCCCGGATAGTTTCTGGAACGAGGAAATTTGATCATGTTACACCTATTCTTAAGCAGTTACAGTGGCTGCCAATTGTTAAACAACTTGAGGTTAGGGATGCTACCATGGTATTTAAATGCTTAAATGGACTTGCACCTCCATATCTTTGTCAGAAGTTTAAAACCAGATCGGCAGTGCACAACTGCAACACTAGGAATAGGGACCGCCTACAAATAGCACTCTGTAGGACGGCTGCAGGTCAGCGCGCGTTTACCTTCAGAGGCCAAAGGCTGTGGAATAGTCTCCCAGACGAGTTTCAGTCTATCACTAATTTAGATGTATTTAAAGTTAAAATAAAACAGCATTTTTTAAGGGCATTTTTGGAAAACTAATTTTTAGATATTTGACATTGCAAATTAAGCTGAAAAGCCTTTTTGAGGAGATTAATAAAGTTATTATTATTAATGCAAGGCGCATGCTGAAGCTAAATGGTAGCCTGTTTCCAGGCGTTAACGTCGTTGGGACAGGCGTAAAGGGATGAAGAAAAAAACAACGAGGGGTGGGGTATGGGTGAGAGCGAGGGAACGCCCGTAAGACTTTTTAACAAAAGCTCGTTCCGGTATACCAGATTCTGGTATACCCTATGATTGGTCTATTTTGACAGCCCTTGTCAGTACTAAGAGGTTCATTAGGATTACTGGAAATGTAATGCGGTAGCAATGAGATTACAAAGCGTGGTGAAGTGATTCGAAATAA